CTCAGAATAGGGCAGGACTCAGAACTATTATACATAGGGTCACTATGAGTCACAGGTAACTCAACAGCACATAACAACAAAATGCATAATTCTAAGGAGTGAGGAAAGGAGCCCTGGTAATATATGTAGGGTTGTGAACCATTAGATTGACTGTTCGAACCCACCAATGACTTCATAGGGGAAGACAGGCAATCTCCTCCTATAAAGATTTACAGCCTTCAAAGTCCAGTGGTAGGTTGTTGAGTCAGAATCAACTTAATAACAGTAGGAAGGAGCTCTGGGGCAGAGTGGTTAAATGCTCAAGAACTAATTGAAAGGTAGATGGAAAAGGTGGGGCAGTCTGTTTCTTTATAGATAGAGCCTTGGAAACTCTGTGGAAGGGTTCTACTGTGTCCCATGGGGCCTTTATGAGTCAGGTGTTAAGAAGAATGGAATGTGACCAGGATGGTACCAACTAGAGCAGCATTGTCTGCCCCTCTACAGTGTCTTCTAAGAGCTGTTAAGAGTCAGATGTTCGCTGCGGTGGCTGCGACCCTAGCCAGGTTAGAGAGTGAGGCCCTGTCGGCTGGTCTGGGCGGCCTGGCCCCGCGCCCTAAGGCCTAATGTGGCTGCAGCAGCGGTTTAAGGGGTTGCTGGCGGGCCGCCGTCTCCTTTGCCTGCTCTTCTTCTGGTTTTGCTCCTCTGATTTGCAGGCTCCGGGGTGCTGCAGGCGGCGAGTGGCCTGCATTTGCTGTCCTGAGGCCCACGGCGATTCGGGGCGCCGCCCAGCCTGCCGCCTGCCTGGAGGAAGCTACCTGGGCCTGGCGTGGCCTCAGGGAGCGCGGTGAGGCTGTGCCACTGGGCCCCGGCGTACTGGTCCTGGTGGCCAACGGCTTTCTGGCCCTGGACTTGACCACCACCGACTCTGAGTGACCCCCAGGGAGCCGGAGCGCCCTGTGTGGCGCCGGACTTTGTGCCTCTTGTGCAGCTGTGCCGACTCAGCGCGCTGGCTGAAGCTGGGGAAGCCGTGCTGCTCTTGCAGGAGGTCCTGCTGCGCCAAATACGCTGCCTGCAGCTCAGGCTCCAGGGCTCGGGGCAGCAGCTGCTGTCCCTGCGCCCTCACCGGGGCCGGATGTGCCTGCGTGCTGCTTAAGGAGGACTTCCTGGCTCACCCGGACCACCCTCATGTCTACCTGCAGCAAATCCAGCTCAACAACCCCATGGAGCATGTAGCGGCCCTATAGACCGTGGGGGCTCACCGTCGGCCCAGCCCCCACGGCCCTCGCCAGCACGCTGGAGAAGGTCGGAGACCATCAGTTCTTGCTCTACCTGGGCCTCTCTCCGCCTTTGTCCTCGGGACTGGTGCATCTGGTAGTGGTGGACGCCAAAAAGCTCTTGAACAGGCTCCAGGTGTCTTCCAAGACACAACTGGATGAGACAGTGCTATGGGTGGTCCAGATCTCCAGCCCCATGAACCCCCAGGTGCTCAAGACTAAAGCAGAGAAGGAGCTCAGAACACTCCAGGACTTGGCCTGCAAAGAAATGCTGGAGCTCCTAGAGATGCTGGCAAATGAACTGCTTCGGGACCACCAGCGCCTCTGGGCCCAGCCCTTTAGTTCAGGTATCACCCAGCAGGCACCAGGGCCTGTTTTAGGCACCTGGGATACAGAAGTGAATGGAATGAAGTCCCTATTCTCATGGGGCTTGCTTCAGTTCTTTTAGGAAGATAGACAGATGTTAGAAAAGAACATTTGTTCCAGAGTGGAAATGAAGATCACGGACACGCACATACCATCCAGCCTGACTGTGAACCTGATGCTTTGCTACATGTTCTCCTGCTCCCCAGCCCAGCTGCTCAGCCCTGCCCTGAGTGACCAGGAGCAAGACCAGATGGAGTCTACACACTCCACTACAAAAATCAATGTTTCAGTGGCCACGCCACCATGCACTCTGAGAATCTCTGGCCCGCGCGGATGTCCACAGTCCAGCAGATCCTGCAGCTGTCTGACCTGTGGAAGCTGACCTTGCAGAAGCACGGCTGCAAGGGGCTGGTGAAGGGGGGTGCCCCAGGCATCATGCAGGGCATGATAATCAGTTTCAGCGGGCTACAGGTCACCAAGAACAACCTCCAGTTCCACACTGACCCCGAAGTGCTGCACAACAGTTACTCTCTGCACGGCATCCACTACAAGAACAACCGCATCAACCTGGCCGTGCTTGCCGACACCAAGGGCAAGCCCTACCTGCCTGTGTCGGTGGAGTAGCGCGGCCAGCCTATCAAGATCTACGCCTGTGAAGCTGGCTGCTTGGATGACCCCATGGAGCTGACCTCGGCGCCCCGGGGCCACACGTTCTCCATCATGGTGATGCAGCTCATCGGGCCACTGCTCGACATCTGCACCGACCTCATGCACCTGCAGGACCTGGGGCACATACTGGACCTCAAGGCCATCCTGGCCCACTACGAGCACCTAGCCCAGCAGGCCTTCCTCTTCTGGTTCAATGTGGCCTCCCTCATCACTCTTTTCCATCTCTTCTTCCTCTTCAAGCTTATCTATGAATACTGCAGGCTTGGAGCCAAGCCTTTCTTTCGGAGTAAGGAAGATAACAGTGTCTGAGTGAACGAATGTCTGCTCTCAGCCACCATTTACACAAGACGTTCAGCATGAACCATCCTGCTGCTTCGAACAAGGGATCCTCTGAAAGCCACCACCCTTTTGAGGTGCTTTGAGGTGGGAAACCAGTGATTCCAAGTGTTTGTCGACCTTTAAGAGTTTGTGACGGAAGGAAGTGGAGTGTGCAGTAGGGAGCAGGGCAGGAAAGGCCAGTGGACATTTTATGAACTTTCGGCTCAATAAAATGAAGCTGTATGGAAAATTAAAAAAAAAAAAAAGAGTCAAGAGGTTCAATGTACTACTCTAATCAGTCGTGAGGACACCAAGAACTGAACCCTCCTCTTTTTTTTCTGTTCTTTTTTCTTTTTCTTCCCTTTTTTTTTTTTAACTGCCTCTCTTATGTATTAATTAGATGTCAGGAGAAAAGGAAACGTCTGGGTAAGCCTCCCAATGGATTTCTGGAGATGCATTTGTGATTTTCTAAGTTTATGGGATGGAGAAGACACTTTACCACAATGCAAACCAAATGGATTTTTATTATTAAAAATACTAAAGAAAACAGTTTTGTTTTGATATAGACCCTCTGCAGATGAACTGCAAATGGAAGGCTGTGCCTGAGGTGAGGCTTTGGATCCGTAATACCAAGGTTTACAGGATGCTGGTTGTGGTTTTTGTTGCCCTCTGACAAATTCCAAACACACAGATGACTCGAAAAAATTCAAACTCATAAATTACCGTGAAGTCGGACGCCCCCTTAAAGCTGACACTCTAGCAGATTTTCCTCAGCTGTAAAAGGCACAAGAGGAGAATGTCCATCTTCCCTCAGAGAGCTGCCACCAGAGCTCTATATAGACAACTTGTTATAGACAACCCATGGCTGACTCTTCAGTGAGTTTTTAATCGCAAGGGAGGAGACTGTCCATCTTTCTCCCGCTGAGCAGCTGGTGGATTCGAACCACATCCCTTTGCAGTGGCTTCACAATTCCCTCCCACAAAGCCACCCTTAATGGACCAGCTTTTCTTAATTGTGAACAGCCTCTTCTATCTAAATGCATGCAGTGTTGTTGGTCACCAGGTCACTCTTGACATTATGAGCTTGGTTTATTCAACCAATGGCTAGGCGAATTTATAAAATTAGTTCAAGCCAATATCATGCTCCCACTTTGAATAGGTTTGCTGTTAGGGAAGCCTTTATTACTCAACGTGTGGTAATTAAACAGGAATCACCTTTCTGGGGAGGTTTCACTTACATCTTTGCGAAGGAACAAGAAGAAAGCCAGGTGTAGTTGTTCCCGTTCACAAGGTCCAGAAATGAAGCTGTGATGTCGCACCTGAAAAATGACTAATGATATTCTGGAGTCTTCACTATGACACAGCCCATGTGTGTTCATAATGTTCTTTTCAGGATGGATTTCATTCCTTCTTAAACTTTAAAAATGCCAAAAGTCACTTTCAGTGACTTGAAAAGGATTAGTAATCAATCAGTAGTCAGCTTAATAAAGAAAACACAACACTGAATACCTTAAAAGCTAAATAGTATTTCTATTTAAATTAATCTTCAAGAAAAGTATGTCGGTATTGCCAAGTTATCAGAGAAAGCTTGCAAATTCATTACCTGTACCCCCACTGGTTTATTTGATGAGGTCTTTTATAAAACACATTTGGTAAATAGAGGGATTCGATGCATCTTTACTTAACAGAAAGTCTAATATCATCACACCTCTCCTCCAAATCTACGGTCTAATCAGATTTTTAAAAAAACAAAAACAAAAACAAAAAAACACACCACAAAGAACCTCGCAGGCTACTTGGCATGAAAATTCACGTTTTATTTCTATTTTACAAAAATCTTCATTTTACGGTGTACAGTTTAGAAAAATACAGCGCATTCATGTCCATGTACTCTACTGGGAGAAAAGCCCAAAAGCTTGGCCCTACTTCATGCATACACAATGCACTAAGCATTAATACATTTGCACAACAGAAAAAGCGCTTCAACCCTTCAGCCTCCTCCTGCCATAAAGACCGCACTACACACCAGATATTTTAACTTCACCTGAACAGGGCAAACTTACAAAGTCTAAGAAAATCATTCCTTCTCTGAGGACTTAAACGTTTTTATATTCTAATCATATTTCTTTCTTTCCTCTTAAGATTGTCTTCCTTCAAAGCGTCCAGAAAAGGGGAAGGTTGCCTGATTTTCACAGCAATCAAAAGATGCATTAATGACATCTACAAAATACACAAGGAAGGGGGAAAGAGTCGATTGTTGCATCCATAGGACTAGAGACAGGAGCAAAAGTAACCTGAAAGTTTGCTAATTTTATTCTAAGACTGCAGCCGAGACACCGAAGCGCTGGCGGCGAATCCAGGTGGGTCTGCGGCTCGGGCCCGGCACCTGACGCCCTAATTCGCCATCTGGAAGGGCTCAGGCTGGAAGCCTAAGAGCCTCTGACCATAGGGATCGCTGTCGCCCGGTAGCTTGGTGCTTGCGAAAGGGAGGTAGTGGTCGCGACCAAAGTGCTCACAGTGGAAGTTGAGCCAGTCCCGCTCGGAGCCGAACCGTTCGGCCTCGGCCAGGATGCGCGTCAGAGCCATGATGTAGCTCAGCGCCATCTGCAGGGTCTCGTACTTGGAGAGCTTCTTGTCTTGGCCCCACTGCGGGACCACGCGGCGTAGGCGGTCAAAGGCCGTGTTAAGTCCCTGCATCCGGCGCCGCTCGCGCGCGTTGGCAGCCAGGCGCCTGCGCGCTGCGCTCTCCAGCCGCTCGGGAGCGGCGCACGTGCCCGCGCACTCGGCACCAGCCGCACACGGGGGCGCGACGCGCTCTCCCGCCGCTGGGCAGCCGGATTTGCAGGATTTCATGATGTGCGCGGCCTCGAGGCCACCGACCCTCACCCGGAGCTCCCCCGACCGCCCAAGACCCAAGTGTGTGCGGGTCTATCGAGCCGCGTCCTAAGTCGTCCTTAGCCAGAAAGTTTCCAACGGAGCAGCTCACGTGGGATCAGTTCACAGTGGGGATTGCGGGGCTCGACCTTCTGTCCTATTGGGTAACCAGGCTGCGGATCTCTCCAGTTGCCCAAATTCAGGGATAGCTGAGATGTCTAGGAGCAAGTCATTCTTCCAAAGTGAAGTTGAAAAAAGAAAAGGGAATTTTCGTTCGGTAAAGTCGGGTCTGGCTGAATCTGGGAAGGCCTTTCCCGTCTTCCAAGACAGCCTTGAACTTTTTCAAGAAGCTGTGTGCATCCTTCCCCGAAGCTCCAAGGGGCAGGAGCGCTGTTCGCTCAGTAGCTGTCGGAGAGTGCTGGGTGAATCTTTGAGGAGGATTTATAACCGAGGGCTGAGGCTGAAACAGGTGGTGGCAGGTGGGCGGGCGTCCCTCGGCCTCCATCTCAGCACCTTCCTACCCTGGGAACTGCGGGGGGAGGGGGACCACGCGCAGCAAAATCCTGACATTACAGCCTTCATCTGTTGAAGCTTCTCCAAAGCTATGTCTGTCCGGCACTAACTAACGCACCATCTGGAGTGGCCTGGTTGTCCCCAAAAGAATAACAAAGTGGGGGGTGAGGGCATCCTCCCATCCGTGGACAGTTTACATATTTTAAAAAACTTGAACAGGATTTTTAAATCGTTAGAAATCTTTTGTGCATAAATGTTACTCTTGGAATTGTGGGAAGTATCAGAACTTTGTTTATGAAAATGAGACTTTTGCAAAATATGTGACAACTTTTCATAATGTTGATAATATACTGACATTTTATTTTAGCTAATAAGTAAATTGGACTCATTTAGTCTGTCTCATGATTTTGCAGACTTGGAAAATGTGCAAATATTTTTACTGTTTTCTTCAGGATAATTTAATATGTATCAAATTATATATTAAGGTGTAGTTTGAATAAATGTATATAATACTGATTATACAGTTGAATCACATATCATTAGATACTGAGGCAAATTAATTCCGTATTTATACTCCATTGCTTCTGACACAGATTCATCAATCTTGGAGAACATACATTGAGGTGATAAATAATGCACAAAATTTAAACATCTAAGTAATTTGCGAGATTTTTTTAAACATTCCTAATGGAGGATTCCCCCCCCCCATCACAAAGCAATAAGTATTTTATTCGACTTGGATGGCTTCAGTTGTATCAGCCCTGCCCAGAAACAATATAACAAAGCACTGATGTTAATGATCTGATTTCTACAGAGAAACCATAAATTTTATTTTTTTTTTCATCTCTGCTCGCTTCTAGCTCTTGAGGAGTGAAGGGTACAGACATCAGGAAAAACAAGTATGAAATTCCTCTTTTAGAAATACAAATTGTGTCATCATTATTCTCAGATACTGTTTCAATTATCAGCAAGCTCTCGCAAATCAGGAATATTTCCACCATGACTTGTCTCCCCCATCACTGCCCCAGACTGTCACCTATTGTCACTACCCTGACTCCAAGCCCTGTCTTCCCATAAATAGTTGATTAAACCTCAGCTGAAGCAATGGCAATGAAATGAAGTTGAATAACATGAAGACAATAGGATGCAATTGAACATTAATGAACTCCAGCGTAACAGATGTTGAACACAGGCTGCATGGAGCCACTCATCTCAGTTACTCCGGGTCCTAACGTCTTGGTCAAAAACAACAGTTCTGTGATGGGAAAGACTATGTCATGTAAATGTCAAAAGCAGTGTTTTAGTTTTCATAAGAATCTACCCCATTAATGTTACTGTTTCCCATCTTCATGGATTTCACCTCTTTCACCAAGAAGTCCTCCTTGTGCTTCTCTTGTACCAAAACATACTACTGTGCCTTTGTTCTGGGCACTGTTACCCAAAGTGCTGACAAAGTGCTAATGAGTTGTATGCTCTTGCAAACCAGCATCAGTGCTGGTGAGCTTCGAATCTGTGCACCAAGAGCTTTAAACACACAACTTGAAGAGAAAGGAAAGTATGCATGCAACATGGCTCGGTGAGACCTTGGACCAGCAGATGTCTAAGAAGGAATGATTACTGTGCAACAATGAATCAATGAAAACCCAAAATCTCTGTAAATGTTCATTAAAACTAATAAAATTTAATAATTTAAAAAAAGAAGGAATCATTAATCTGACAATAGGGCCTTCAAGTTCATATGGTAAACATTGCCCCAATGTATTCTAAGGAACATCAGTCCTACAAAGATGTTTCTGGGTAGAAAGCCCCACAGTTAAATATATTTGAGGAGCTCATCTGCCATCATGGAGGTTCATGAAACAAAATTGGTCTGTTAAAGGTTATGAGAAGCCCAAGAGCAAAGAAACTATTGAATCCACATTTCCTATATCTTTTGGATACAGAACCCGTTTCCATAGGATTATCTATTAACCCTGGGACACTTTTTTTTAACTTACTCCATTATTTTCCACTGGTTCTATGGAGAAGGAAACTGATGTCCAGAGACTAAATATCCAAAGGCAGTAAGTTAGTGATCAAATTAAAGCAAGGAGTCAAATCTTCTAGGACCTTTGATTTTTAGAAACGTGAAAATTATGGCTTTCACTTCATATAAGCCCTTCATTTGACAAGAGGGTAATTGAAAGCCTCCAGGGACTTCCTAATGTCAGACAAGTTATTAAGCAACAACAGCAGGAATAATGAAAATGTTTGTTTAAAAATCACTGGTACTTATTTTCTAAGCCCAGGGTCTCCTATTGGTGGCCTAGTGGTGAACTGTACTGCAGTCTCGATAGCTCAAGGTTCAAATGCACCAAATGGCCTCTAGAAAACTGGGCAATCTGTTCCTGTGTGATTGACTGCCTCTGAAAACCTGCTGGAAAGTCAGCTATGAGTCAGCTCCATGCCACAGTACACAACAATACCACCAAGACAGTGCCTGCTGCCATGTCTATAAAATGTAGACAAGCATCATTTTACTGTTCTTCACATTATTGTGCTTCACAAGTATGATACTATTTCTAACTTTTAGATTTGTGGCAACAAATTGAGCATTTATACTTGCGTCATTTTCCAGTCACCCATTCTCACTCATAACTCTGTTACAGTTTGGTAAATCTCACAATATTTCAAACTTTTTTATAATGCTACTGCACACGTAGGGAGCTCTGGTGGCTTAGTGGTAAGAGGCTCCACTGCAATCCCAAAGGCATGTGGTTCGAGGCCACCAGCTGCTTTGCAGGAGAAGGATGGGCAATCTCCTCCCTGATGATTTACAGCCTCTAAAAACCTGTGGGAGGTTCAGCTATAAGTTAGTTCCAACTCAACAGCACATAATAACAACAATATAGTGTAAGTATAACTTTTATATGCACTTAAAAACAAAATATTTCACTGTGAACTCACAATATCTGTGCCTGTAATGAGTTCTTAGTGAATAGCTGACTGAATGGACAGAAAATAAATTAGATAAATGGCAGATACTGATTAGAATAATTGCATTCCTAGGGAATAAGCCATACAAATTATTTATATTCCCTGACTTAACAACGAACACAAACTAGCTCGCTCCTTGTATTAAATGCAGAGTGGACTCTTCTTTAACAATAATGACATCCATAAGCCTCTGAATAAAATGAACATGCATGCCAGACTAATTTCTGCACTCTCTCTTTTGAGGGTGTGATCCTAACAGGTGAATTGAGAGTTACTGTCTAGTAATCAGCTAGAAATAAAAATAGACACAAGTGGAGGGAAGGAAAATAAGATAGTATGTACAGAAAAGTTAAAAAACATATCTCCAACAACAAAACTTGTTGCTGTCAAGTTGAAACCAACTCATAGCTGACCTCCCAAAGGTTTTTGGAGGCTGTAAATCGCATGGGAGGAGACTGTCCCTCTTTCTCCAGCAGAGCAAGCTGGTGGCTTCGAACTGCCATAGGCTTCGCCTTCGGGTTTCAGGGCAGCTCCTCAAGGACTATTGTCACCAGAGATCCCTGAACATACAGGAGCAGGGGAAAGAGAGAAATAGTATTTCTGAGAAATAAGGTCAGTGGCTGAAAATTATTACATAAAATATGCGGAATCAACTCAAGGATAAATACTCCTTTGTCGTCTAAAGCCATACTGAATATCTAAAATGGAAAAATCTTAAAAGATACAAACCATTAAAAGAGAGGAAAATACTTGCATAAAAAGAATTAATTTTTAAAATACAAAAAAGAAGTATTCTTCCTGAAATTTACAAACAAATAAGTAAAATAAATAATGGAGTTACATAACGGAGGAGATGGGAGTTGAGAGACTCCAGGACATCTCCCAAAAAAGCTGAGAGAAGTCAACAAAGGGCAAAAGGATGGAACGTGGAATTCTATTTATATATTGTAATAAAGACAACAAGTGCAAATGTTAAACATTTGGTAACTTTCTCTTCGTGTGTTTTTTAATTGTGATTTGAGTGAAAGTTTACAACACAAATTGGTTTTCCATTCAATCATTCACACACATTTTATGACACCAATTGTATAGTCAATCGGTTTACAATATATGATGTATTATTACTTCCTGTTGTTAGTTGTCCACAAACCATTATTAGGTAGGGGTGGACAAACACAAAAAAGAATAGGTGTTATCAAGGAAAGAAAAGTAGCGTCTTTCCTCTGCCCCCTACTGCTCAACTATCCTGGGAAGGTAAAACTCAGAACACGAAACCAAGCCCATTGCTGTCAAGACAATTCTGACCCTGTAGTACAGAGTAGAACCGCCCTATAGGCAATAGTCTTCACAGAGGTAGAATACCATATCCTTCTCCTTCAGAGTGGCAGGTAGATTTGAACCATTAACCTTTTTGTCAGAAGTCAAGTGATTAGCCACTGTGCCACCAGGACTTCTCCACAAAGCACACAGGGGTACAGTAACTAAAAGGA